GCAGCATGCGGTGATGAGGAGAGAGCCAGGTTCAGATTCACCTGGATGACCGCATGGCTAATGGCTGCCCTTCTTCCTGGCCCGGGCCCTTAAATAACTTCTCTGACCTCAGCAGCCAGTCCAATCGAAGCTGCCAATACTGGCCAGAAACCGACCAATCTGCAAAGCATCCCTGGCTACCTGGGCCCACGCGCAGGGCCGGGTCTTTCCCCCCCCTGCCCAGGTGACCAGAGCATCGCCTCCCAGGCGCCAGGCTTTTGTCTGCAGACAAGGAGCGAGATCCCCGCTGTGAGGGATTCAACACCCGCCTCCCAGGCTGGTGGAGACAGATTACAGGAGAGGGGCACCAACAGTGGCATTTCTGCCACAGGGAGCACGCCCTGTCAGGGGGTGCACCCCCTACGCATCGGCACTGCCTGCATGAGGGAGGCTGGTTTGAGCCAGGAGGGCTCGGGGCTGCAGGAACAAAGGACCTGCCAGGGGAGGGGAACCCCTGTGCTGGACTGTGGGTGCAAGCGGGGAGACAGTTCGAGTAGAGGAATGGCTGAGAACGCACAAACCTCAGAGGCGGGGAGTGGGGAGACATTTAATACTGTACCATTTGCAGTCAGTTTATTTGTAGAAGTGATAAGAGGAAACCCTTCACCGCACCATCTGCCCAGAGGTTTCGGCGTGAGGGCCAGCCTGATGAACGGGCTCAGAGCCTCAAGAATGACAGGAGCTGTGTTCACACCATCTAGTGGGTGATCCTACCAATAACTGTGTTGCTATTTATTACAATGAGACCGGAGGATTCATTCTAAAAGGAAACTGTTGGGTTCAAAAGGATATGACCAGGCGAGCGTAATCAGAAGCATAATCAGTGCACGAGTCTGGTGTAAGGGAACAACCCCCTGTGCCAGAATTAGTCAGTTATGGTTACATTGCTAGATTGTATTCAAATGATTGGTTTTATTATTCTCTACTGATAACATATAGATGTATATATGACTTCTTTTTTATTAATCTCTCTCCCTTCCTGTATACAGTTGTATATATAATAAAGAAACCCATCTGTTCATTGGGTTTGGAGTAAATGCTTGGGTGGTGTGGGTGAGGGCAACACCCCTCCCAGGGACACCCCAGTCAGCAGATCTTCCTGACAGAGATCCCAGCCCTACTGGCACCTTGAGGATCTGAAATCTGGCATATCGCCCGGCCTAGTGCACCAGTGAAGATTACGGTAGTATTAGGCTACTGCACAGTAGCGTCCCATAAAGGAGTTTGCTGGTGCTACTGTGTAGTAACTCTGGTTACTGGGCATTGATTTAATACTTAACTTATACAAGTACTGAGTAAATATGCAGTAACCACTGTGTAGACACACCCACTGGGCCTATTTTAATGCAACTTAAAAAACTTGAGGTTAACCTACACGTAACAAAAAAAAAGCCCTGCACTCACCGGCTGCTGCAGCAGCTGTCACAGCCTCTTGGGTCTCATGTCAGAGCCCCTCCCACAGCACAGGGTAGTGGGGGGCAGTGGGGATCACTTCCCGGCCTGGTAGGAGCCAGTGCTCCTACCAGGGGCTTTTTTTTTCTTTAAGGTGCTGGGATGCTGGGGCTGGACGGGGGATTGGGCCTGCTCACTTCAGAGATTCAGCCAATTTGGCAGCAGTGGCTGGACCGGGGATTGGGCCTTCACTTCAGAGATTCAGCCAATTTGGCAGCAGACAAATCTCCAAATCAGATTTGGCTGAATTGATTCGGGGCAGCAATTTGTATCACTGAATAGAATCACTGTCCCCTGAACTAACCGAATCCGAAGCAAATACTAGCCACTTTGCACAGGTTACCACAGATGATACTTATCCTGGCCAAGAAGTAAGAAACAATAGATAAAAGATGATCAAACTAAAGAATCAAACCAAAACTTTTCTGATTTAAAATACTTGAATCCAGGAAGGCTTGTTTCTGATTCTGTGCTTCAGAGGTAAGCTGGGCTCTAGGGAACAAGTCCCAGAAGCCCTAACAAGAGAAAAAAATGGATAAATCAGCTTCCCCCAGCATCAGTCCTTCCAAACCAGTGAAGTTCACTGCCATCTGCAGAGAGAAATTAGTTTGGATCTACTTCTGTCACATCAGTCTATTAGTGGAGAGAAAGCTCCTACTAAGATATTTTGATTTCTGAAAATTTGGTAGTGGCAGGGAAAAGAGAAATTGGTTAGATCAGGAGAGGGAAAATAAGCAAAAACTCCTGGCACTGGAGGATGAGATTACAAGCTGAGAAAAACTTCACATTGCTGTAAGTGTATTATTCAAATTAACTGTGGGTGGTTGGTAAGAAGAGGGATGCATGTAGAAATTAGATAGATCAGTAGAAGGAAAATAAGCAAAGAATCTGGAGGATCTATCATAAGCTGAGTAAAACTTCACAAAGAACATTGCATTAGGTCTTTAATTGCAATTAAATATGGTTGGTTGGCAAGAAGGGTGGTGTGTGGGGTATTTAAATATATAAAATTTTGGTTTCATCGTCATCTTGTATTTGTATGACATTCAGCTGGAAAGCTATCAGCAGTTTATTATTATTATTATTATTATTATTATTATTATTCAAAGTTCTTTAGCTGGTCAAAGGAAAAAACGAAAGAAAGAAAAGAAAGCAGCTCTGTTTAGAAGTCAGAACTTGCTACCAAGAACCCACACATTTCAGTGTTTTGGCAACAAAAGATTTTTCAATCAACAGCTCCTGGAGTCTTCCTATTTTAAACCAAATTATCCCTCCACCCCACTATTGATGGTTATTCTTCATAAATTGATGTTTTTGAAGAAAATCTACAGATTATGAAAAAGTATATCTTTAGCAAAAGACATTTTTATAGGAAACATGTTTCTAGGCTTAAATTCTAAGCCCCACGGCTGAAATTCAGCCTTGCCCAGCAACACCAGGATTACAATCCCACCTCACTCATTGTATCCAGATTTTCTTGTTTTCCAGAAAAATGCCTGGAGGAGGGAGAAATCAGTAAGACCCACAGTTGATCCCCTGAAAATGTTTTTTACTTATCTGAGTGCCAAATTAAGGTCAGGAAACCCAACGAAGTGTGATGAGCAAATACATAGTGAGAAGAATCCCTTGCTCAAAAGAGCTTAAAGTTCTTGTACCCCAAAATGACAAAGATCAATGACACAAGGTGGAGGTGACAGAAGGATGGCATTGGCCTATCATGGCATAGAGATGACCATCCAGCTGGGGATGGGAACCATATCAATCGGCTAATAACCATGTGGCAGGGAGAACTCAGTATAGATTCATTTCAGACCAGGTGACACTTTGGATGCTGTCTATGTCAATGCTGTATATACCAGGGAGGAGGAAAGGGGGGTGCTGGCATTTTATTGACCAGCATCTGATTGTAGTCACAAGTGCTGTGTTCAGTGTGCCTCATCTTGCTGTGGCCTTGATGTTTGCTGAGGCTCTTGCTTTTCTTGCTTGTTGTTGCTATTAAAAATCACATACAAAATACCACAATCTGGTCTGACAACTTGATGAAGGGAGATGGTTTCATAGTGAGATCTGAAATGAGGAGAATGAGAGCATGAAGCAAATAAATGGTAAACTCTCTGAGATATTGCACAACCTATATTCAGAATTAAAAACAATGTTTTGTTCTGAAATAGTCTCTCTTGGGTGGTTTGGTTTTATTATATATATATTTATTTATTTATTCACACAGGTAAGTACTTTTCTGGAGTATCTGTATACTTAAAAAAAAATATTCCCAGCAATAATACCTTCCACTGACAATTTTACAGCACTTAAAGATAGACCGTACTGGCAGTTAGTTCACGAGCTGTTTCTGACATGAGATTCCCTCCTGTTATATTTGTAACTCTGATCCTGGCCACTTTCTTGTCCTTCCTTCACAGGCCTTGCACAACGCCCTGAAGAGGGAAATGTCCAACCAAACCATTGTGACCGAGTTCCTTCTCCTGGGCTTTTCTGATATTCGGGAGCTCCGGATCTTACACTTTGTTATCTTTCTAGCAGCATACTTGGCAGCCCTGATGGGGAATCTCCTCATCATCACAGTTGTAACGCTTAACTATGAACTTCATTCCCCCATGTTCTTTTTCTTGATTAATTTGTCCATTGTGGACCTTGGCTCCATCTCAGTGACCGTGCCCAAATCCATGTCTAACTCCCTATTGAACACCAGGTCCATCTCCTACTCTGGATGTGTTGTCCAAGTCTTTGGTCTGTTCTGCTTCTTGGCAGCAAATTTATCCCTTCTCACGCTTATGGCATATGACCGATATGTTGCCATCTGCAAGCCACTGCATTATGGGATAATAATGAACAGGAGAGCTTGTGTCCAGATGGCTGCAGGTGCTTGGGCTGCTGGTGTTATCTACGCTGCAGTGCACACTGGGAACACCTTTAGTCTCCCCTTCTGCCACTCAAATACCATCAACCAGTTCTTCTGTGAAGTGCCCCAGCTGCTCAAGTTCTCCTGCTCTGGCACATACCGTAGGGAACTGGCAGCTCTTGTCTTCAGTGCGTTTTTAGCTCTTGGCTGCTTTGCTTTCATCATTGTGTCGTATGTTCAGATCTTCACCACGGTGTGGAGAATCCCCTCGGAGCAGGGCCGGCAAAAAGCCTTCTCCACCTGCATTCCTCACCTTATTGTGGTCTCCCTGTTTCTTTCCACTGCCATCATTGCCTACTTGAAGCCCATCTCTGACTCCCCGTCCCCTCTGGATCTCCTGGCAGCTGTTCTGTATTGTGTGGTGCCTCCATTGATGAATCCGGTCATCTACAGCATGAGGAACAAGGAGATCCAAGCTGCCCT